TCTATCCTAACAGATTGTTGTTTTCAAGTTTGAAGAAAATCCATTCAAAATTATCAAAGTTATAGCCACTAATAGCAAAATAAATCAAAATTTGGACATTTGACTTTGAAGGTCAGGATCATTTATGAATGAAGGTCAACTTTTGTCTAGTCTACTTCAAGGCCCTGCCCAAAGATATTTGAGCCGTGTCACGACAAAACCAACATAATGGGTTTGCGACCAGCATGGATCCAGACCAGCCTGCACATTAGCGCAGTCTGATCAGGATCCATGCTGTTCGCTTACAAACCCTATTACAAGTAGAGAAACTGAATGCGCACAGCATGGATCCTGATCAGACTGCGCGGATGCGCAGGCTGGTCAGGATCCATGCTGGTCGCAAACCCATTATGTTGGTTTTGTCGTGACACGGCTCATTTTGTGGCAAAGTATGAGGACAATACAGCAGGATCTTAGTAATGTTATGATCAAGGTGTAAGTTTGCGGACAACAACAGGAACACTGCCATGACTGCAACAATAGTGAATACCTCTATTTCTTTTTTCGTAAAAAAAAATTCTAATTAAAAAATTCAAACAAGGTAAAGTAGTGATTCTCTGGCACTGTAATTCTTCAAAATGGTCTCTATCAATGTGTGAAGTTTTTATCAGGGGACATCTCTGGCAGAGTGGTTATGGTTGTTGACTTCAAACCACTAGCCCCTTACCACTGTGGATACGAATCCTGACAGGGACTTTAGATTCTTTCATGTAATGAAGCTATAATAGCTAGCTTAAGGAATGTCAGTGGCTCTACTCGGGTTCCAGTCTGGACCAGAAATAATGCTAGTCGTAGTGCTTATGATTATGTTTCAAATAACAAATGATACATATGTACTTCAATTGTGTCAGACAAAGTGTGTCCTAACCCTAGACATAAGTGTTCAGGGTAAAACACAGCAATATCAGATGAATTTATGGTTTGTCGCAACTGTTAAGGCAGTCTGATGACAGCTACAATAGCTTCAATTAGTCATCTTTACATATTTTCAAATATGCTTTACCTGGTATACAACTATAATTGTTTCTTATGTAAAACTGAATGAAGCATAATTGTTTAATACAATAACAAGAGCTGTCACAGGAGACAGCCAAGCTCGACTAATAAAATAAGGAGGACAAAATTATGAAAGAACAAGAGCGATCAGTAATCACATGTGTCGCCTAATGATGGCCAATTTCATGTTGGGACAAATTTTGTGACAGACTGACAGACAGACAGACAGTGCACAACTAGACTTGGTACTGATCATTCCTGTAAAGTTTGGATAAAATTGCACCAGTAGTTTATGAGGAGTAGTCTGGACAAGCTTTGGCGTATCTGGCAACTCACAGAAAAAAACACCTTTTGTCAAAGGGCCATAACTCGGCCAAAAATCATTCAACCAGATAACCCGTGCAATATGCGCAAGGACTTGAGCGACAGATCAATCCTGTAAAGTTTCACTGAAATTGCATTAGTGGTAAAAGAGAAGTTGTCCGGACAAACTTTAAAATTAAAAATTATTAAAGGGCCATAACTCTGACAAAAATCATTGAACCGGAAAATTCTGCTAATATGCACAACTAGACTTGGTACTGATCATTCCTGTAAATTTTGGATGAAATTGCACCAGTAGTTTATGAGAAGTAGTCCGGACAAGTTTTGTGACGGACGGACGGACAGACAGACAGACAACGGAGAAGTGATCCCTATATGTCGCCTATATGGCGACACAAAAATCAATTATGTACAATCATGTATTAAGTTATAGTAAAAAATAACATTTGTTAAAATAAATTCAAAGATCAAGGGGAATAATTCTAGAAATAGTCACGCTAGAGTTATGAACCTTGTTACACAATATGTGTGTAATGATAAGAAATATATATTTGAAGTAGATACCTTAAAAAGTAAGGAAGTTATAATATTTCTTAACGAAAATTCTAAGTTCAAAGAGAGATAAATCTGTAAATATTGCTTCAAGTGTTATGAGCATAATGTCACATAAAATGTAATTGATGATAAGGAATAAATAATTTGAATGTTGAGGTAGATACCTTTAAAACTAAAAAAGTCATAGTAAAAAATAACATTTTTCTAGTAAAAAAATCTAAGTTTATAAGGAGATAATTCTTGCAATATTGGTGCTAGAGTTATGAACCTTGTCACATAAGATGTGGATGATGATAAGGTACATATATTTGAAGTATGAAGTTGATCCCTTTAGAAATAAATAAGTATCAGTAAAAATAATATTTTTAAGGAAAATTCTAAGTTCAAGGGGATATAAATCTGAAAATATTGGTGCAAGAGATATGAACCTTGTCACATAAGATGGGGATGATGATAAGGTACATATATTTGAAGTATGAGGTTGATCCCTTTAGAAATAAATAAGTAACAGTAAAAAATAGTATTTTTTAAGGAAAATTGTAAGATCAAGGGAAAATAAATCTGAACATATTGGTGCTAGAGGTATAAAGCTTGTCACATAAGATGAAGTTGATGATAAGGAACATATATTTGAAGTTGATACCTTAAGAAATGACAAAGTTATAGTGAAATGTATTTTACTGCACATAAACTTTAATCTGAAATCTGGACGCAGACGCCGGGGCGAGTAGGACAGCTCTCCATATACTTTGTATAGTCGAGCTAAAAAGTTGACAATGTAATTATAATAATGCAATTATTGTTTTATTGTTGTATTTCAATATTATGGAATAGATATTTACAAAATAGGAAAAAAAATAATGAAGCTATAGTCTATCACTGAATTATCTGCCTCCCCTCATGATAAATCATGAAGATAAAGGACTGAAGGTTGTATGAATTGATCTAGTATTCCCAGGTTAACCAAGTTAAATAGACGATTACCTACTAAGGTGTTACATTTCAATACTTGAGCGTTTCTAACAATTGATTATATGAATGTAAATGTCAAATACACTTTTCCCCATGATGGATGTTTCTCAGCTTTCTTTCAGTTATAACATGTTATAATCTTATGATTCCTATTCAGATCTGACTATAATCCTTTCACAGAGTCTATGAAATAATATAGGTGTAATTTATTGTTACATTCATTTACACTTTTGGTATCTCCTTGTTAACTCCATAATGTCTTCTTTACCACATTTAGTTCACTTTAATTGGTCCGTTTATTATCAAAATTCACTTAATTTACTTTCACTGACAGTTTTATTGTCATTTCATCCAAAGTATCATAAAATTCAATATTGACAAAATAAGGAAAAGATACATTTTGCTGTCATTTTGGCACTCTTAAACATTAATTGCCAAATTAACTTTATTTTCCATACTTTTTGATAACTCTTAATTTAATCCAACATAATTTAAGTGGAAAAAGTGAAATGTGCCTTTTTTACTTGCACTTGTGTCTTCTGGAAAAAAATACTTTTTAAGCCTGACCACTGACTAAAGATGAGGACTGATCCTGTGGGCTACAATTCTTTTTCATTTGAAATGAAAATCTGGTAATTTTACTTATACTGAATTCTTGCATCACATATTTTGCATTTGTCAAGTCTTTCTTCAATGTTTTCATATTACACATTTTGTATCACCAACAATATGCAGATATACCAACAGATCTACACCACTTCCTTTTTGTCAGGTTGATGTTTCTTGCAGAATATTTGTACATCATGTATTTTGCTTTCCTTTGCCTATAACCTGCTGTTTCTGTAAAATTAGAGAGAAAATAAATTTAACAACAGTCATCTGTATAGGGCATCACTTTTAATAACAATATTTTATAAAACAACTTTATAAGGAGCATAACATTTTTAGCTCACCTGTCCCGACATCAACCATGTATTTTCTATATATCAATAATATGGTTCCAACAACAGAGAGTGATAAAACAAACCAATATATTAACACTGATAATCAGATTAATAAATTTTTAAGTGGGCCGAGTTGACTATGGAGTTGATCCGTGCCGCGTTGGAATAGGGCTGAGCTGACTCGGGGCCGAGTATGTTAGGGCTGAGCCGACACTTATTCCAATCAAATACATATAATTAGACAATATATCAGTAAACTTAAGTGTGCCATACCCCTAGATCTACAAATGTCGGCTGGCTGATCGGCTAAAACAAAATTAAGAAACGAAACTCATCGGAGGTTGAGCTACATACCGCCGATTTCTTAAAACAGACTGACATGGCCTACAGTACCTGTAAGCATTAATAAAAACTAACATACTTTCATCGATGCTTGAAATAACCACATTCTAATATAAAATATCAAAACAAGCTTACCTCGATCAAAGCTCTTCGATTTTCCAGGATTTTTCCATCAACTCGACATCGGGAACGAACGATGTCGAAAGACTGCCACTGATTTGGACAATATTTCATCCACACGATACGTTGTCACAGATAAATAAAAGTTGGTATCGTAGAAAATATCTCTATGCTCATGAATAAAAGGAAGAACTACACTTGGATTAATTAATGAGCTTCTAAACGAGGTTTACACACAATTGTACCAGAAAGTCTTACATTTCTCACGGCCCCGTCCGACAACTACCTGCGCATGCGCAGAACGTAAAGTCTTACGTTTCTCACGGGTCTGACAAAATTCACGCCACACCGTCGTACCGACACAATATGGGTCATATGGCGACTTTCCAGCTTAACCTTTGGATTAAGACCTCGGGTGACATTCCATGCATCATTTTAGGCACAAAGAATTGAGTAGAACCACCGAATCTAGCTTTATAGCTTTCTCACATGAAAGAATCCCAGTCGGGATTCGAGACCACAGCGGTGAGGGGCAAGTGGTTTGAAGTCAACATCTTTAACCACTCGGCCACGGGCGCCCTATCAATACATTATCGTCAATAAAAACAAACACTTAAATGTGATGAATACTTCATATTAAATATTTTCTGTCAAATATTTTGAAAAAAGTGCTTGTGAATTAAAACATGAAATCAATTGAAAATTTACCTGGTTTTTGTGTTTGCTCAATTTCCCGAAGCTGTACCTACAAAAATTGAAATTGAAGTGATTTGGACACACTTTTGATATAATAGTGATGTAATTTAAATAAAACCGATGGAAATATGACAATTTTACGAATAATACAAGTGCAAATATTCAAGTAATGCTTTTGATTTTTCAATGACGATATTGATGTCAAAATTAAATGAAATGTAATTTGATCGTATTTTTCAAGGAAGCTATTACTTGGTATCAACTTGAAACTAGACACTTTCGTGAAATTACCATTTGCTAGTAAAAAAGATTAAAAGATTCCGATGAGCTTTATCATCGACTTACTTGTTGTCAAAGAATTATTATATAACATGTATGAAGTGAAAGTTATGAACATTAACTCCTGGAAAAATCACATATCCAAGGCGATTAAAGTACATAGGCGGCAAAAGCCGGAATTAGAAAAATATATATGTTCCGTTGTCATTGTTTCCTATCCTCGCCGACATCAAACCAAAAGGGATGAAAAATGCAAAATATATTTATATTAGACGTCATTAATGTTAAAAAACAGCATACGTAATAACCGTAGTTACCGTATCTGTACTTTGGTGCCACGTGTTTCGTCGTCGTATGGTTCCAGGCGAGGGTTTCCTCGCAATCGGAGGTGCGACAGCTTTAAAATATGTTGTTAAAGATTAATGTTAATAGTCATTTGCATCCATTTTCACCAGGTACCAATTTTTTTTTATCGACCTCGATAAGTTTCGAAAGTAAACAAAAATGTTGATAACTTTTGATAATACAAAATCAAAACATTTCAAAGAATGTTAACTTACAGACGAACATTAAAAGCCATATCATCACCATCGTATTTACCAATTCCAAATCTTACCTTAACATATTTATTATGTAGAAGAGATAAAAAAAGAGATCCAATTTTATTAAAAATGAGTCCTATTCCTTTAGAACAATTATTAAGAAACATTGCTAGTTGCATCTTCTATTCAGATCATTGGAAAATATATTAAAAATTCTGCTAGCTGCAGCATTGTGAGGCATCCTCGTAATAACTCGTTCATGATCAGCATCTGGATCAATGTATTCTTAATAAAGAGAACAACATCAAATTAACAAGAGCTATAAGGGAATATAGTGCCCTAGACCTTTTATATACTGGACGCAGTAAAAACAGTCTTAACTATAAAAAAAATCAATAACAATATTTAAATGAAATGTCCAACCACTTTCAAACACTTAACAAGCCTGTCACCATGTCAATGAAACGGACGAAATTAGAATAAGAGAAGAAGATGTTATAGAACACATAACAATGATGAATCTGAAGTATTCATCCGTTCAGTAGCACAGATAGCATGAGTAAAATTAAACATTTTTAAAGCAAAGTTCTATGATTGAAACTAAGACGATTATTGGAAAGAAAAGATTCAAGAGTAATGCGCCTTGTTATAGATGCTGTTAGTGATAACAAGTGAAATTAGCTTAAGATTCTTATAATAAACCATTTTTATAAAAGAATTAGAAATCTTAAAATTGTCAATTTTCAAAAAGATTGTCAGTTTCAAAATTGAAACATGGAGCTGACGCTTAATTTTATATACATCCATTCATTCATTTATTAATTTTCATTCATGAATTAATTCTTGAATTAATTCATTTA